TTTTTGGCATGTATACAATGAGAATTTAGAACTTAATTTAGTGCCAGATCTGGACATACATTCCAACATTGTCTGTAGTATTGTCTGTCTTATCTAATGATTTTAGTTCCTTTTCTATAGGCTATCTCAGAAGGAAAATAAGAATGGATATTTAGGCTTATAAATTCCACAGAAAATAGGTATATAAATTTCAGGCTAACTTAAAACCACTATGTCCTTCTGGATTTTATCATTTAAATGCCTTCATAGAAACATTGTTCTGAATTACCTAGTTTGGAAATATATGGAAATATTGAAGTAATTATATAAAAATTCATTTGGATTATTTTTAAAATAGCAAAACACTGGAGGTAAAGAATGTTGGAAACTATTAAGAATACTGAATAAAAATTTTGAAACAAGGATTTATGTTTTGTAGTCCAGAATGACCTTGACTTTGTTATAATTTGTTTTGTTTTGAAATAGTGTTTGTCTATGTGGCCATGGGTCTTCTGGAAGTCATTCTGTAGGCCAGAGATCTACCTCCCTCTGCCTCATACTACAGAAATTAAAGGCATCTGCCAGGCTGATCTTGAGTTCCTCCTGTCTTCAACATACTGTAATTGTAAGCATATACCACTATGCCTAGATTATTATTCCTTGCTAGTGATTGAACTCTGGACATGCTAGGAAAATACTCTGCATCCTGAACCACAGCCCCAGCTCAGGATTTTGTAATGCTTAAATAAAAGTAGTGATGAGACTTTACATGTGACTTCTTTTGGGTAGTGTTTAGGAAAAGTGATAGAAGAAAAAAGCTATGTTGAAGTTATATTGAATTATTCTCCATATCTATGAATTGGTATCTTAGAATTTTATTGAATTTGAGTGTTAAATAACCTAGTCAGAATACAAGATGTGGGCTGTTCTGTCCTTTAATGTTTCATTCCTCGATTTAAAATTTATAGAAACTTAGAACTCAGTTAACTGTAACTGTCCACAATTTATATTATACTAATATATATTTGTGTATGTTGCTGTCATTAATAATATTTCTATTTAGATATATGTTAAGCGTTTTACACTTCCATTCTTTGATTTTCAAAGTCAGACTTTTCTTTCTGCCCTTCTATTTCTACCAACAGTTAAGAGCACTCCATCTTTATGGAACATGTTAGACACTGAAAACAATTGATTTTCTAAAAAATATACCTATACATGTAAATATATGTATATTTACTTATATAATATATGTCATATATTATTATATACTATACATTTGTATTATATGTATATATTATTTTATATTACATTTATTTATATTTATATATTACATATTTTTCTCATTTTAGATAGGATTTCACTTTGTAGTCCTGACTGGACTCAAAGTCATAGAATGCCACATGGTTCTTCCTCCCCAAAGCTGGATTAAAGTCTTATGCCACCAATCCCTGCACCTGAAAACCATTTTTGACTGTGTTATTTCATTGATTCTATTCCTTCAGCAAAACTGAGTCTTTTTTATTGTTGTTGTTACAAATATTCATCTTAAAAATATGTGTTTCTTTTACTTCTTAGATTTTGCTCTCTACAACTCCATTTAAAATATCTTGAACAGTCACATGTTACAATAAATCTGCCACTAAATAAATCTGCCGAGCCCCACTGCCACATATGTGTTTTATGCCAGCCGCCTGCCTGAGTTAGACCCAAATGAATACACAGAAACTTGTATTAGCTGCTTGGCCAATGACTAGGATTCCTCATCTGTTAGTTCAGTCTTAACTATTATAAATCTATATATTTTATAAGACTTATCTTATCCAACGCCTTGTTGGCGTCCTCCCTTGCCAGTGGATCACATCCTGCCGCTGGAGCAAGAGCGGAGGGGAAAAGGGACCCTTCCTGTTTCTCCTTCGTTAAATATGAGTCTTCTTGCTATGTCACTTCCTGCCTGGATCACCACTTCTCTACTACATTTCACAAAATTCTCTTTGACTCCTAACAGTCTAACTTGCTGTCTTATTGGCCCAACAGTATTTTATTTAACAATCAATTAGATAAACATACACAGTACATTCCTCATCATTCACAAGTAATTTTTTGGTTTTTCAAGACAAGGAGGTTTCCTCTGTATTGCTTTGGAGCCTATTCTGTAGACCAGGCTGGACTCAAACTAACAGAGGTCCACCTGCCTCTGCCTCGTGAGTTCTGGGATTAAAGGTGTACACTATCAATGCTCAGCTCATAATTTTTTAACAATATTTAAACATTGAAAGCATTAGTTCCTACCTATGCAGAAAATGCTGTCCTCTTGTAGATACCCTCTGCCTCTGGCTCTTGCAGTCTCCTCTCCTGTTTTCCACAATGATGCTTGAGCTATGGGAGAAGGGCCATTATACAGATGTCCAAATATGGGTTGATCATTCTTCCTCTTCTATTCTCTGCATCTTGACTAGTTCTGCTGAAAAAAAAAAAAAGGTGTTTCTCTGATGAAAGTTGAGCCAGCGGTCTACCATGCTGATGTGGGATAATGTTCTTGTTCACTGTAAATATTTTTCATTCATATTAGTTAAATAATACACTGATTGGCCAGTAGCCAGGCAGGGAGTATATGTGGGGATACAAGACATGGAAAATTCTGGGAAGAGGAAGTCAGAGAAGCAGTTGCCAACCAAACAGAAAAGGAAGGAATAGGAGAATACTTTACTCAGAAAAGGTACCAAGCCAAGTGTCTAAACATGATAAGAATTGTGGGATAATTTAAGTTGTAATAAGCCCGTGTTAGTAATAAGCCCGTGCAATATGCCAAACAGTGTATAATTAATATAAGCCTCTTTGTATTTATTTAGGACTAAATGGTTGTGGGACTGGGTGGGACAGAAAATTCCATTGTGTTAGTAATAAGCCCGTGAAATATGCCAAACAGTGTATAATTAATATAAGCCTCTTTGTGTTTATTTAGGACTAAATGGTTGTGGGACTGGGTGGGACAGAAAATTCCATCAACATCTTGCTAAAATGGAAGGCCACACATCCAAGAACATGGAACAGAAAAACTGTACTTGATGGGTTTAAAAAATATAGAGGACACAAGGTTGTTTGGGTAGGGAAGTCTGAGTTGATCTGGAAGGAGTTTCCATAGGCAGTTAACATGGTCAAAGCATGAATTTCTCAAAAGGAACAATAGCAAGATGAGAAAAAAGAATCAAACATAAAATAAGGCTAAGATAAAATAATCATAATATAACCATTAAGTTTTCTTGTTTACCTATATTATGGGTGAATGAAAATTTGTCATCATGTTTATTCTCATTAAGAATATTTTCTGTTTCTGGCTTTCAGAAATTACTGTGTATGATAGGAATTCAGGACATGTACTTAATGCTCTTTTTGTTAATTGAATATTGTTTCATGATCATAGATGGGTCTTCCACTCATAGCGGCAGTGAACATTTAAAAGGAGTGGTTGATGAATGAAACAAAAAGATACCAAATAATAATAGGAAATTCAATATGTATCTTAATTTTTGACATTTTTCACAATTAAATAAGTAGAAAAGTTTAAGGGAATAAGAAATTGTTAGTTAAGCAGAGTTACATATTCATTCTAGAAAAAATTAAAATGAATAACTAATTAGAAGGGTCTAAAATCAAATTACATATGGTAGAAGATATACTGATCAATTTTGAGATATTTTATCACTTAAAACTTTTAAGAGTTCAAGCATTATCAGGCTCTGCTATGCAAAAATCCACCAATCTTTCAATTTCTCTGAATGTAATAGTCCTTGAAATATTTCTTGCACCACTAGGGTGCCATTCACTAAATTGCTTCTTCATAAGCACCGAATTGCTCACTAATGCCTTGAGAAAGAAAACCATCTACTCCCTAGGATTATAAATGTGATCTCATTAGCTCTAAAAATACACCGATGAGGAGAGAAACTGGAAAGGAAAATATTGCTATTATTTTTAGAGGGTGAACACTTGGGAGCCAGAAGGCAGACTTTGAGAATTACAACATTTCACATTCTGAAGCACCTGTTATAAAACCACATGTTTGACTTCCTCAGGGAGGAATGGCAATTCACATGTCTGCATACACATGTTTGGAAGCGCCCCCCCCACACACACACACACAATGAGCTGTTGGAAATCTGTTTTGGGAACCCTGTTTTAGATATTGTTTTAGCAAAGTCTATTTTTGTAATAAAAGAGTGACTATAAGGATGAAGATGTCTACCTTGTCCACCAAGATGATATATATCCTGAAATGAACATGCTAGATAGAGAAGGCAAAACAAAGCATCCATGGGCATGCGAGATTTAGAATTTTTTCTTTCATATTTACACTCTGAAATATTATCTGTCATTTACTACTTTGTGCATTTTATATTTCTTGCAACTTTTCCAAGGAATGATTTCAGCATTCTTTTTCTGTTTTAAGATTCAGTTTTAGAGTTTGTTTGGTTTTTTTCAGCTGTCATGATGTATAGTGGGAAATTACCAATATGGAGTCAGGTAGAAATATAAGGGTATTTAATAGGGAAAAGCCTTACTTACAGAGCAATCTAGCCAGCTGACGTGGTAGCAGTCTGTACAGCAAGAAGCAAAGAGAAAACGAAACCAAAAACGCAGTCCCACTACGTCACTCTGACCATGCCCTCACAAGCCTAGTCAGGCACACCTGTAGCCAGCCCCTAAGAAGGCATGGCTACAGCTTTCCCTACAATGATGGAACTGGACAATAAGCCCTTGAGTTTGTAAGTCGTTAGATTGTATCACTGTGTCTAGAGAACATTTTTTTTATCATGGCTCTGGATGTAGTGATGTTTCTAAAAGCCATGTGGAAGGGTGGCTGTCTTTACTTCTGGGCCTGCACTGGTGACATTCTGCTGTGGACCTTAATGCTCTGGCTTCTGGAGATACAGCTTGATACCATGTCAAGATCACTATTTTAAGGTATGGATACATACCATTTTTCAGAGTGTTCCACCTTTTTGCATTCTCAAACACTGTCAGTTTTACTCTGTTTTCTATGTTTTTCCTTCTCAGTCTCATGTTTTTTTATAGTTCTTGAATCCTTTGACTTCAAGAACACATTTAATACATCTCAAACTTTAAACAACAGAATCCACAATTCAGTTCATCCAGAGGATTCCTAAACCTGCCTCTAAACACTTGTATGAAGACACTGACTCTTCCTAAAGTTTGAGGATTTATTTACACATTAGCCACACCTAAACTGGAGAGTGGTGACATACCTTTGTAATTCTAGCACTCAGGAGGGTCAAACAGGATAAAAACAATTACTGTAAATGTAAGACCAGTCTAAGGGACACAGATACTGAGTTCAAGGTAAGCCTGGGCTACAGAGAAAGACTGTCTTAGTAGTAGTAGTAGTAGTAGTAGTAGTAGTAGTAGTAGTAGTAGTAGTAGTAGTAGTAGTAGTAGTAGTAGTAGTAGTAGTAGTAGTAGTAGTAGTAATAATAATAATAATAATAATAATAGAAGCAAACAGAACAACAGTGCCACCCACTTGCATCTTACAAAATTATCAAGCCCTTGTCACCTCTCCTTGTTTGCTCATGACTGCTTTCTAATGTGTGAGGAATAAATAAGTAGAAAACAGACTTTTTATAGGTTGCAGCTTGAAAGATTTAGCCTTCTGTACACATTATAACTTTAAGAAATTTGACTGTGCCTTGCTTGTAAATCTTCCTGCTCAATCAAACTCATATCCCAGAAGTCCAGTTGTTTTTCCTGTTTCCAGTGTACTGATTTTTCTTACTACTGACCTTGTTGATTTAAAAAACAATAATGATGATATTACTCTAGGGGAAAATTCCTATTTAGAGAGATGTTGAGGTTCTGTATTTTTGATGATCTATAGATTTTTCCATTTACTAAACTCTTTAGTTTGAAAAATTTAGTAGGAGAGTATTACAGAGGAATTTCAACTGGTTGGATTAGGAGAAGGAAACGCTATATACAGGGGAAAAACAATTTTATTGTAAAATCGCTTGGTATCCTAGCTTCTAAGTATCTTTTCCTCTGAGCCCTGAAAACGTGTGGTATTGCCTTGTTAGCTACGATTCTGGTCTCTTTACCTAAATGGTCTATTACAGTTACATCACTGCACACTAAGATGGGGTTGTGATGTCCACATACTCTAAGTGATTGGTAGTGGAGAGAGATTGTTTTCCTGCATTTTTCTTTCCTGTGATCTGACTAGGTACATGCCATCTTTCATCAGTGTAGCCATTTCCCTTTCTCACACTCAATTTTTTTTAAAAAAATGTTATTCTTTGTTTCTATTTCTCTCTACTAAGGCAGCTGGATAGTTTTGGACATGCAATGTATGAAAATGGGTTTAAAGGAAAGATAATTTTTAGAATCTTGGTATTTTGGATATAAGCCAAGCCTTTAATGGCTGATCCATTTTGATAGCAAACCTTTAGTTCATTCTAGCTTCTATAACAAAATACCTAAGAGTGGGTCTTTTAAAAGCTGTAGAATTTCCATGCTTACAGTTTTGGAGGCTTGGAAAAGTCAGATCAAAGACCAACAAATTGGCTGTCTGGCTTGAAAAGTTCTACCTCTGCATGGGTCTGTGTGTGAAAGAGAGTTAAGGTTTCTCTTTACAGACTGTTAATGATACCAATCTCACTTACCTACAAAAATGTGGAATTAATTTAAACTACATTTTAAAGAGACACATGAATTCATGTCATACCAATCAACATAGTATCAAATAGGTACTTAACTGTATGTATGGAAAAATAGCTCTGATGTGTAATTACCTGGAATTTAGCAGATGTATAACTTGAAAATTATTCATGGGCGCAATTTCATTGCTTTAACTAAATTAAGTCAAAGAAGTTTTACTTTGAACTTTTAAAAGAGGGTTCTATTCTTCATAAATATCTGGTAAGACCCTCATATAATTCTTCCTCCCTTTATAAAAGGTTTGAGTGTATAGAATAGAAACAAAGAGTTTGGAGTAAGGAAGAAATGATCTCAGGTTCTTATTCTGTCTTTCATAAAATATACTGACAATGCAGCCCTCTGTTACCATCCTATCCTTTGTGTGTTTGTTAGATCCACCCTGCTCATTTTCTTTTTATGTCCTCTAAGTTACATAAAGGAAGATGGAATGTGCTGCCTTCACAAATGGGTCCGTAGCACTCTAGCTGCTGGTTGATGTAGTTAAAAGGAAGTAATAGACTCTGGTGCTGGAGGGAGATTAAGTCAGAGGAGGATGGAAATGGAGATGGGGGTATCTGTTTTCTGTTTCCCAATCCTGTTCTGAATAGTCCTATGTTCTTTTACCTGGCCCCACTTCGAGGATGTCCTAGACTACTTCACTCACAGTCTGGAAGACTTTGTTCACAGCCCTGCACTGTTCAAAATCTGCACACTTGGAGAAGACAGTGCAGTGGAAGTTCTAGGGTATGTTCATGTCTCTTCTGTTTTCTGTCCTTGTCATGACTTCTAAAAGTTACCCTTGCTTAAATGTTCTTCTGTTGTTTTTTCTGAAATTGTCATCTATTTTTGTCAAAAAGATATCTTTCCCTACTGTTTCTCATATCTGAATAATTGCTAAAATGCAATATTATTATTAAAGGTATGATTTCATACAGGAACATAAAAAACATGTTCTAATAGTATAACTTTCCCGACTGTTTCTCATATCTGAATAATTGCTAAAATGCAATATTGTTATTAAAGGTATGATTTCATACAGGAACATAAAAAACATGTTCTAATAGCATTATGTTGTGGGGTTTCCTTTTGTATTCTGCAAATATCTGTTGCTTTTATTGGCTGATGAATAAATCTGTTTTGGGCTATAGGAGGCAGAATATAACTAGGTGGGAAATCCAAGCAGAGATACCAGGAGAAGAAAGGTAGAGTCAGTGGCCTGGAGAGGAGTAAGATGCCAGAACATTACCAGTCAGCCACAGCCATGTGACAATACATAGGTTAATACAAATGCTTTATTTATTTATTTATTTATTTATTTATTTATTCATTTTGGTTTTTCGAGACAGGGTTTCTCTGTGTAGCTTTGGAGCCTATCCTGGCACTGGCTTCTGGAAACCAGGCTGGCCTCGAACCCACAGAGATCCACCTGCCTCTGCCTCCCCAGTGCTGGGATTAAAGGCATGTGCCACCTACACATGGCCAATGCTTTAATTTAAAAGTAAGAGCTAGAGAGTAATATGCCTAAGCCATTGACCAAACAATTTATTTAATATTAAGCTTCAGAGTGGGTATTTGTTAATTGGTGGGCATGATAAAAATGTCCAGTTGCATATTTTTTTCATTTTGATCAGAATCAATCAATCAATCAATCAATCTCTGGCTCTCTCTTTCTTGATTACTTTTCATGATGGCTGAAAATAACTTCCTGCTTGAGACAATAAGTAGTACTTATCAGTTGGGACTGAAAAAAGCAGAGTCAAGATAGGGTGAGATGCCTGGCATTGGTGGTGCATGCCTTAAATCTCAGCACTCAGGAGGCTGATCTCTGTGAGTTCAAAGCCAGGCTGGTCTAAAGATCGAGTTCCAGGACAGGCTCCAAAGTAATACAGAGAATCCCTGTCTTGGAAAACCAAAAAAAAAAAGATAGGGTGAGATATGGAGAAACTTTATTGAGGGGAATGCCTGGGAGAAATAAATGCACCCGAAATGTATTCACACCACATTGAAAGGCAGGCTGATCTCTGTGAGTTCAAAGCCAGGCTGGTCTAAAGATCGAGTTCCAGGACAGGCTCCAAAGTAATACAGAGAATCCCTGTCTTGGAAAACCAAAAAAAAAAAGATAGGGTGAGATATGGTTAAACTTTATTGAGGGGAATGCCTGGGAGAAATAAATGCACCCGAAATGTATTCACACCACATTGCAAGACTGATGCACAACAAAGAAGTAACTGGAGGTAAGAAGTCAAGGGCAGAAACTATTAGTGGGATCTTACAAAGAAACTCTTGCTAAGGCCCAGTACACGCAGAGATGAGCCTCTGGTATGCTCTTTAACCATGCTCAGTTCCTTACAAGGAAGAAGCTGGAGGGAAGTGAGGCACCCCGTGAACATGGAAGTAGAGTTGTCAAGGAAGACAGTCAATGCTTCTTCCTGGTGCTGGAGAACAGTCATATTTCTACACTATGTTTCAGAATTTTTAAGTTTGATAGCAAACATTTTATGTTTGATTGTATTTTAATTATTGCTTCTATTAAGATTTAAATTTCTCTGAGGGTAAGAGACATGGCATTTATCTATTTCTCAATAGCTTTTATATAGGCACATTGAAATATCTGTAATTGATTCCATATATTAGAAAAATTCCCAACTCGGTGGTAAAACTTGTTAATCAAACATCTTGGGATATGATGATGGAGAAGTATGTTTAAAGGTCTGAGAGCATCAGGTAGAAAAGTTTGTGGTATGCCAAAATATGTTTTCAAAAGTATAAATCCATAGTTCTTATGCATTACAAAAGGAAAATATTGCAAATGTTATTCAACCCATTACTAGAAGTAGAAATCTGTGGCATGTTATAAGTGGCTCAAAAGTATCAAGAAGACAACCTGTCCACCAGAGCAAACAATGGGCAAGCTAAGCTCAAAACTGACTAATACAATGAAAATGTAAATACTTCAATTCCTGTGTGTGTAATAAACAGGGATTATATGCATCAAAAATTAGATACAAATACACAAATTAATACATAATTTAATTTTGCCAAGGAATTTTAACAAAAGTAAAATAGTAATAAAAACTAAGTATCATCTATAAGATAAATTTGGACTGCTATTGCTCCCATATTTGCTTTAAAGTACACATTTTTCATCTTGTGTGCTTTACTTAAAAAATTAGAATAATTTTGTATCACATAGTAACTACGGATGTGAATATTAGATTATCATATTGATGCAACAAAGAAATCCAGATAGCCATTTGCTTTAATCACCTGAAATATCGATTCTAAATTTTATTTATCACATTCGACAAGGATGTGAACCCATGGGCAGCTGCTTGATTTAATATAATAGTTGTGTTATCTTTTTTCATACTGAATCTTACCAAATGCTTTTCTCATATCCTTCAAGATATGAGTATATTTTTCTGTCAGTTTTCTTTAAAATTTATAATTATTAAGGCATTGTGGTTATTTCTCTAACAAATACTGCATGATAATAATAGTATTGAAATATTGTTGAAAATTTATAAGCTTTTTTAATGCTCTAATTTTTCTGTTTGATACTTTCAGGTAATATTATGGTAGACTAATAAACTTTACTGGAGATGACTTTCAGTTTTACTCTTCTTTAGAAAATTGTATAAAGAGTTTTAAACTATTCATTCCGCAAACATTAGGTAAGTTTTTATGGGATACAATTTTATTTATTAGATTGTATAATTGCATATAATAACAATGATTTTTTTTTACACTTTTGTCCAATTGGTAAGTTTTATAAAAATCCATTTTGGACTAGCATTTTCATTTCAGGGAGGTTTTTATAAAGTGATCAAATTACTTTAAAAACAATTATAGGATCCCTGAGATCTATTTTCTATGCCAGTTTCTGTGTTTTAAATATGAATTTTCTTTATATATTTAAGTGAACTAAACATTCCTAAGAACCCTTTTCTTCTGTTTATACCATATGAACTTATTTTTCTTTCAATATTCATGTGAATCTTTTCTCCTTAATTTGTCGTGATTTTGACTAGATCACTAGACTGTTCACGGACTCCATGCATCTGATATTTTAACTTCATCTTCATTCTGTAATTCTGTAATTATAGAAGGATTCTATAATTAAAGCAATGTCTGGTTTAATCTGTAACTTTTTTAAATTCCTATGTTTTTATTTAGCCTACTTTATCATGTCTATTTGGTTATTGTTTTAGACCTTTGTGTTTCACTGTAAATATTTTCATTTATGCATTTTCTTCTAACACTTAAGAAGCATGCAAATAAAGATGACCTTTCCAATTGTTTAAGTTTCCCATTACAATTGCATTTCATATTAATTTTAATATATAATTATATCTTTAAATTTAAATAGGTACTGCATGTGGTGTTGATCATAGATTTTAAGGAAAAAATATGCCACAATAGAGCTGACATTTAGAGTGATATGTATATTATTCAAGTTTCTGGATTCTGAATTCAGTCCTGAATTTCCATCCTCATGGAGGAGAGAGCTGTTTGAGGGACCATGGCCTCTAACACTGCAGCATTAAAGATCCATGTGTTTAAAATAAAGAAACACACCTCAAGAGTCTGAATATGCTTAGTGTTTGAGATAATGATGAGGATAAATTTTAGGGATAATTTGCCTTTAGAAGGGTACAAATCCAGAAAACATGTAATGTCAAGGCACCAATGAAAGTAAAAATAAGGCTGTTCATAGCTATGCCAGCATTTTGATAATAGACAATTAATTATATTTCCCACCTGGTTCCACAGCCATTTAGCCCCAAATAAACACACAGATCTTATATTATTTATAAGTTGTTTGGCTGATGGCTTAGGCTTTTTACTGGCTAGCTCTCTTAATTATTAACCCATAAATATTAATCTATATTATTCCTAAATGGCCTTAACTTACTGGAGAAGGCTCCAGAATGTTACTCCTTCAGCAGCCTCATGGTATCTCCCTCTAGCTCTCTAAGTCCTCTCCCCATTATTTGTCTTGTCTAGTAGCCCCGCCTAAACTTCCTGCCTGGCTACTGGCCAATCAGTGATTTATTCATCAACCAATATATACTGAATGACATCCCCCATCAAGGTGATAATTTATTTTGTTTAATTGTCTTGTGTCAACCTTGTGTCAGCTGATACCCTCTGGAAATGCTTTGTAAAAGAAAAAAAACCGAGTCAGTGATGTAAATTTAATTGAGTTACCTTTCTTAAAAAGCTCAGAATGCTGTTTTTATTAGTAAGAGTTGGTAGCTAGTGTTTGAAGATTTCAGAGGTAACAGTAAGATTCTGAAAGGAACTGAACACATCCTCTCAAAATCCACCACTATAGTTTGATTAGTGATTTGCAAAATAATGGATAAGAAAGCTTTTTTGTTTTTGCTTAATTTTCTCAAAAATAGGAAAGGAAATTCCTACTCAAGAGCTGCCATCCCTGTTACTAGGAGAAACAGAACATTTTTATCTTCAGGTCCAGAGAGCTGAGTGTCAGAGTCTTCCTTCAAGAGAACACGTTTGAACTGTTCCCAATTGTCTTTCACCCTCTCATTTATTTAAATTTTGCAAAATTACTTGATTTTTCTTTTTATGTAGTATAAAAGCACTTAGGTTTTATCAACACTTGGGGCTTCATTTTCCTAGGGGGACTCCCAGATTGTAACAATCTGTGTGCTTTTATATTTCTTTCTTTCTGCTAATCTGTTTAAAGCCTAATTAATTCTCAAGCCCAGCTGGAGATCATAGAGGTAAAGAGTTTCTCATCCATGGTGCCTCTGAATTATAAGTTTTAAGTCTTAAATTGAATAGAGTAATGTGAGAGACCAGTAAAGAGACTGAGAGGTACTAACGACTTACCGTGATAATGACTTTTTTGATATACAGGAGATACATAATCCATGAAAGAGATAATGAAAAAAAGAGACTGGTCTTCATTAGCATTAAAAGTAGTTTGCTCTGTAAGGATAATGAGAAGAGAAGGAGAAAGAAGCTACATACTACAAAAAAATATCTACTGTAATCTTTATCTGACAAATGACTATTCAACACACAAAATTATTAAAACTCAATAACAAGACTAGAGAAAACTTAAAATAAATAGAGCAAAGATCTCAACTGACACATCACCAAAAAGCTAAAAATATAAAAATTAGCATGTGAAAAGAACTTTTCTATCAAATGTTATTATTAAGTTGCAAATTAAAGTGAAATCTCACCATCTCTTTTTTTGTATGTCCCACATTTGGAACACTGACAGTACCAAATGCTGGTCAAGACCCAGAACAAAGAAACCTTCTGTTGTGGGTTACAAAGCGCACAGTATCCTTAATGCTTTCTCTGGACACTAATTACATACATACAACAAGATCAAGCAATTCCAGTCCTTCATGTTGGTATAAAGGACTTAAGAATATTCCCACAAGAACCTGCACACTGGTACCTATAGTGAAATTACTCAGACTCATGAAAATGGGTCTACAAGCAAAATGAGGAGTAACAGACTGCAGTATATATTTTTGAAAAGATATGAGCTGTCAAGCCATGAACAGACATGAAGAGACCTGTGAAGGAAAATAATCTGTAAGGCTACATAGTTTATGGTTCAAACCATATGGCCTTGTGGAAAAGTAAAAACTTCAGGGATAGTAAAATGGTCAAAACTTGCCAATTGTTGAGGAAGATAGATGCATAGGCAGGTCACAAAGGATTCTCAAGTTAGTGACAGTAATTTGAATGACACAATTACCAAGGGTAGATGCCAGGTATATATTTGTCCAAGTCCATACAATATATAATATAAATATGGGACATTATATATACTGAATAGTTTGTACTTTGTATTCAGGAATTGTATGTATGTATGTGTGTATGTATGTATGTATGTATGCATGTATTATGTAATAAAAGCAATGATAGAGGGGACATGAATTTTAAAGAGAGCAAGGAGAATTAATAAAAGCAATGATAGAGGGGACATGAATTTTAAAGAGAGCAAGGAGAATTATATGCAGGGGTTTACATGGAGGAAAAAGAAGAGAAATGATGAAATTACATCATAATCTCAATAAATAAAGAAATAAAAGACTGGACCCTGAGGTGAACTCAGTCTTTGGGGCACTAGATGTGTCTGTGTAGGTTGATCAGTTGTAACAAGTGTTTCCTCTTAGCAGTGGATGTGGAAATCAGTAAAGATGTTAAAGCAGAGAATAAGTGCAAATTCTCTTTACCTTTTGTAATTTTCTGTGTACCTAAAGCTCATCTAAAAACATATAGGCTTAAATGTGACAAAATAACAAAAGGCAAAATGTGAAACAATACATCTTTGTATTTCTTTATCCTCTCATGTGTAGATTTGTCAGAGAGGAGAGAGAGAGCTGGAGAAGGGAGTGGGAACCAAGTGATTTGTTAATTATATTCACAATATTCTTCTTACAAACAACTATGGTTATCTTCTATAAGTTTTGCTTACTTATGTCATTTACACAAAGAATACATTTGCATATACTTTAATTTCAGAGCAGCATGTTTATCTATGATTATCTTATTTGGCCATGCATTTCCATTATATGGCCTGTGGATTCATGATTTGGGACTTTGTTCTGATAGTTATCAAAGCTCTTCCATGGACTTCATCTGAGCTACTCAATTTATTCCTCTAATAAAATCTGTGAAAAATACAATAAAGCATAAGGGAGGGGTGTGAGAAAGGCAGATGGCATGGATGAGGTCTCATTTTTCTGACAAAGACTATAACAAGGATGGAAAATGATGCACTGCAAATCCATTGTAGTGACAAAGATGGTAATGAGAATTGGTATGAATATAAGCGACTGTATTCTCATTACCCTCGCAGATTGTAATCGTTTCTCAGAGCTGTGCCTATTCCCCTCTCACTGATGAGTCTTCCACATATTACCTTTTAGTTTGCCTTTTAAAGACTTTTGATAAATTGGTCATTAGTAAAATCAACTATTAAAAACATTTCAGAATTTATACTGGAGCTTTAATTCCAATGACTGGTTAAAATAGATTTTTTATTTGCTAGTGTAAAGTGATATCAGTTGGTACTCTAATAAATTACAATGCTTTCATAAAAATCTACCTTGTTACTCTGCATACAAAGCTTTGTGATTCTAATGTCTGCAGTGCAGTACAGGACAGGAAGTTTGATGAAGCAAAAAGAGGAGTTGATAAGAAGCAAGATTTCAGTAGTTTTAATCTCCATGGTGATGGACATTTGATTATCATAGTAACATGTGGGTACATAAAATGGAAACCTTTAGATTTTAAGTGAAATTGTGAACACAATTTGAAGATTTGACTTTGATATTAATATATGCCACTAGCAATTGTAAAATACAATGGAAATGTACCAGTGTTAATCCCTATAAAATGTGACTGAAAGTGAATGTTCTACCCAAATACTTATACATTTTGTAATAAACTATTGATAGATTTAAAGAGCCAAATAGTGATAGCAATAAATACCTCACAAATAGTCACCAAGTTTGTTTTTAACAATACAATATTATGACATGGTCTGGTCAAAATTGAACAGATTATATATTGAGCAAAATTATCCCAATTGTCTAAGTTAACAGGGTGAGCCAAGAAGAGCAAAGTGATGATCACTCTAAATGTAGATAATTAGAATTGTGACATTTTCCACCTGTAAATAAAGTGATATCTTTCCTCAGTTTTGTGCTTACAATGAAACATAATAAAAATCAGCCAGCTATAATAATATCAAGAGAATAAAATATCACAAAAATGAGATGCTCTATAAAACTTTTTAAGCTGTCATTTAGGGGTACAATGCAAGGCTTACATGTTGAAACATACTGGTTACCAAAGGAAAGTTACAAATAATACTAATACAGTCTTGGAAATCCTATGCACATTATTTCATAATGAAAGAAAAAAGGTTTGTTCAGAAGGTAGATAATAGATCTGAGGCCACCAGCTGTTACATGTATGGAGTGATATCTCAAGCTACAGTAATTAAAGTTATCTAGTTATTTCTTATCTATGGCTGTTATCTGGTACCTAAATAAACAAATGACTGACTAGTGTGATCTAGTAGAGTATGTACATATATGAACTTAACTATAATTTAAGTGAAACTATGAATTAATTTTCTATGACTGTTTGAATATTTTCTATTTGAGTTATTATATAAATAATGCTACTATACACATTTATACTCTTAAATGGAGTTTTCAACTAATGTGGTAATTATATATTTTAATTTTTGAGGAAACATATAATTCCTTTTGCAACCTGAACTATTTATATTCTTACCAGCAATGGACAAGAATACAGTTATTTAAATTGTCTTTCCTTCTCCACTATGCCTCCTCTGCACTATATCCACAGTCATCGTGTTTCATCATATTTTATTATGTTTTAGAA